AGCGGCGGCCACACCCGCAAGAAGAAGAACCAGAACATCGGCTACAAGTTGGGACATCGCCGCGCGCTCCTCGAGAAGCGGAAGCGGCTGAGCGACTACGCGCTGATCTTCGGCATGTTCGGGATCGTAGTGATGGTGATCGAAACCGAGCTGTCTTGGGGCGCCTACACCAAGGTAGCCCTTCTTTCCGCCCCCCGCGGCCCCCCCGTCTCGGTCTTTTTTGCGTTGTACTTTTTCCTCGTTTCTCTTCTCTTCTCTTCTCTTCTCTTCTCTTCTCTTCTCTTCTCTTCTCTTCTCTTCGTTTAGCTGCTTTTTGCACCATCCCTAGCTATTTTACCCCTTCTCCTTCACTTGTTTTAGGTATTTCTCCCTCCTTTATTCCTCCCCCCCCCGCCCCCACCTTCAGACTTTGATCCTGAATGTATAACTTACTGAGTGAGTCTCATGAACTGTATTTGACTGTTAACAAGCCCCTTCCCAGATGTCGCCAAGCATTCCAATTCTGGGAAAGGAAGCCTAATTACAGATTCCTAATACTATGGCCAAAAGAGCTATGTTTCTGAGTCTGCATTCTAGGGGAGTCTAGAATGGGACTTTTCCAGCATAAGGAGCTGTCAATGATAGTTGCTTCAGTTGTCAACTTTTTCTTGTGGAAATCATCTTCAGGGCAGCTTTTCTGGATTGCCTTGGTGGGTAGCTGTTGTAACTTTTCTTCCCCTGCAAATACATAGAATGCCGATCCAGCCATGCTTTTATTGTTCTACAGCAAATGTGTGATGTACTTCTGCACATTACTTTGTTCAAAGAGTAACTCAGGAACTTGCTGATTTGTTAATAGACATTAGCCTTGGAATATCTTTTCTAATCTCTGCTTTGCATCATTTTTGTTCCTCCATAGATTCTGAATGAATACTAGGGGTGCTTTGCCACCACATTTGGCACATAGACATTAGCAGATTGTAGCTTCCCAACAGAGTAGCAACAGCTGAATGTTGAACATGTTTTCTTCGCTGCCAATGTTGCAAAGCTGGAAGAGACATTGGATAGTTCATTGATAACAGTAATAACCTTGAGAAAGTCAGCTGTTTAAATGAGTGGCTTTGAAGTCTTTACATCTTTTGTGAAGTTATAATTTTAGTAAAGCCAAGTCTCTTTTGAGTCGAACTCAACTTTTTGGACATGTCCAGGCAGTTTTTTTGGCAACAGTATAGAAGAGTTTTGCCATTGATTTCTTGAGGTATTTTCAACTTCCCAGTCTAGTCTATAACCCTGGTATTTCCTGATAATCTCCCCTTGACTCTGAGATCCTGAGCCTTTAATGTCAAAAAGATTTGCCCAGCTTTGTTCAGTGTGAGAATAGGTTTGATGAGGAAGGAGGAGAGGGCAACTCTATCACTCCCCATTGCTTTGGCAGATCCTTAAGAATTTGTCTGTTCTCATAGGTTTACATTACATTAAAAAAAAAAAGTAATGTAAACTGTGAACTAAGTCTTTCTTTCAACGAATAGCCATTATTTTTCTCTAAGGTCTTCCAAACAAAGGACAAAAAAAAAAAAAAAAAATCAACATAAAAACTATTTTTCTCTTGCAGGAGTCGCTGTATTCATTAGCCCTCAAATGCCTTATTAGTCTCTCTACAATCATTCTGCTTGGTCTGATTATTGTATACCATGCAAGGGAAATTCAGGTATGTTCCACTTATGAATCTATATCTTTCAAGGACATTTCATAGAAACTAGGCAGACTGTATTGATGGATTTTTTTTCATTGCTTGGAGGTGGTATATTGTTACTTATAATATCTGAATGTAGCAGTCTGCATGTTCTAGTTGTATTTAACCCCCTTGCAGTTAACTTATTAATGTAAAATGAGGGGCATAATGCCTGCTTTTTTTGCGATAAGTGTATATTTGTTAATCCATTCTGGATCACATGACTATGAAGTCTCCAGTCACCTCTAAATATTAAACCTTGGTGATGCTGTGTTAAACATCTGATGTACAAAGACAGGGTAGCTTTTAAAAATGAAAAGATTATAAAAACACAGAGCAAGAAACTTTAAATTCCATCCATAAATGTTGCAAGATATGCAATAACCATAATATTTTTAGAAGTCAAAATACATTTTGGTTAAAGAGTATCTGATTAAGTCTGATTTTGAAGAAAGATTTTCATATTGATTCATTTCAAGATTAAGAGGCATAGCTCTTTTTCTTCTTAAGGTGATCTTTTGACTTGTGGTTTATATTTGCAATAAAATAAGCAATTTTATTTCACAAGTGACAGTTTATATTTTTCCCTTCATGTAACCTAATTCCATACACATTTATGTGGACGTAACTCTAATTAATTGCAGATGTTTTTACTTTTAAATAAGAACATGTAGAATTTCAGCCATGCACATTACCTCCATGAAGAAATAACATTATAAAGGGTCCCTTGTATATCTGTTCAACACTGAGCAATTTTTATTCCAGGTAACCTAGAGTAAAAATTATACTATATTTTTTTCATGAACAGAAAATGTTTTCATTGGTGGAGGTAAATATTAGTGTGAGGCGAGCAGTCACTGTCAGTTTGCTAAGACATCCCCAAACTGAGCCATATAGTATAAAGGTGTTCAAGGTCATAGGATCTGATTGACTTAATTTGTATTGAAGCATTAATGTAAAATGCATTTGCAGGTTACAAAGTCATTAACCACCACGCCTCTCCCCCCAAAGTGATGCTTTCATTTTTGTAAATGAATTTCTTTCTACATTTTAATTAATTTTAATTTAATGTTTAAATTTTAAAAGTTCAATATTTGCATTTTGAAATTTGGAAGCTGTATATTATTTATAGAAACACATTTCCAGTACATCTAAGAATATTCCAGATTAGAAAAGTATTACTTACTTTTCAGTGTTGCCAATTAAGTAACTCATTGCAAACTAGCTAGACCTTGAAGAAGCTCACAGTTTGCAGTTAAAGGAAGTGATTAAGTATTTATTGGCATGTTAACATACATGACTGAGAGCAGGCCAGAAGATTTATAACAATTTTGTAAAAAATTGGTTAATTCACAAATTATCTATTATCTAAACAGATCTCCAATGATTCATAGGGTTACCTTGGAGCAGTCCCCATAAAACACAATGAAAGTTGCTTCAGTGTAAACACTGTCAATAGCACTTGTTATAAAATGAGCATTGTCTGCATTTTATAAACTTTTTCTAGTGTAATCCAGAAATATTGGCGTTAAAGGCACTGATTCTAGAAAAAAAAAAGTCTAACAAGTTCCCATCAGATCTGTTAGGATTGTCAATTCTAAAGTCCCAATCTGGAGGACACCTAGTTGAGGAAGACTGTTCTAGAGTATTTGAAGAATCGAAGAAGTTAGGCAACAGTAAAAACAGTTTACGCTGATGATTTTTTAAATTTTATGTTATATATTTATGGTAACTGATTATGAAAGAAAAGGCTATAAGTTTTTAATGATTTGGAGACACTCCCTCCCTGTCCCAAAAGAAATAAGTGATAAAGGCTTCTGTATTATTGCCTAGAAAACTTCATGGGTAATAACTTGTAGTCAAGTCTTACTCAAGAGAGTCTTTACTTTTGCATATTTGAAGAGATATTAAATAAACTATGACAATGTTTTCTTTACCAGCATTGGAAAGTTGTCACTTCTACCTTTTTATATGAAAATATAATAGAATACAAATAATCATTTAAGTTTTGTAAACAATTAGTCTTTCTTATATAGTTGTTATTTCACTATAAATCTTTGAGATATACTAAATTTTAAAAGTTATTTTTTCACCTTCCTTCTTATCAACACACGTTCTAACTAGGATTAGTCATTCCGTGTGAAATCACCACCATTCTCTAATTACTGGACTTCATTATTCACAGAAATATTAATAACCAAAATTGATGCACCCAAACAAAGCAAAATGTAGCAATTTTCTGTGAGAAAACTCACCCTCCTTAACAAGGCAAATCTAATGTAGACAAATGAGGTTTCTGCTTTGAATCATATGAGTGGTCCTGTGGATGATGTTATTTTAATTCATATTTATCTAATTATTTAAAAGCATTATGAAGCAAGTTTAATTCACATAATACAATTTAGCAAGAGCAGGAAAAGCAAGAAATATTCAGTTCTGAAGTAAACAGCATTATATTGTATTCAAAAATTTCAGAGTACCAAATAATGACTCTCTTGTGAGTGAGACTGAATCCAGAGGTTATTTTTGTTTCAAAAGTGTCATATGAAACCATCCGGTACAAACTGTTTCCTTGAGTTTTCCAATAACATGTCCCCCAGATATCTTCGTGATAGAAAGTTCAAACACTTGCATTTTTCTAAGAATTGGCAGTGGCCATTTTAAAATCAACCATAAAAGAGTTTGTATAGCATATAAAGCTACACCCATAACAATTCCATCTAGATTTCATGACTCATATTTTGGAAATACAGTGAACAGCTTCATTATCTCTTATACTGATGGGGATCTTCGTTGTTTTGACTGTTACATCGAACAATAGAAATAAGAGAGTTGTTTTTTTTTAAATCACACTACATACTGTAAAACAAGAATTACTATGTTATATTTTACTCTACTAGAGAAAATAAATGATCCTGCATAAATTTAAATGAAATGCCAATACTTTTTAAAAAGCTCAGTTTATATTGAAAGATGACATCCCCAGCTGTCTGCCTTGTTTTTGTGTTCAGCACTATGGACAGCTCTAAGTATCAGAAGAGGTTTTTTGTACTAGTTTAAGCCATTTAAGTACATTTTCTTTCCAAAACTCAGATACAAGTAAATGTGTTATGTATACGTATATCTATTCATACTTTATTCACAGTGATTCTGGAAAACCTGAATTTACATTTATGCTGAATGGTTTCATTTTTTATTGGTATAGTTATATAGTACATATTTATGTTGAATTGCTGTCTTTGTGTTCCGGCTAAATGTGAGAAATGTGTAAATGAAAAGAAATGAAAAAAAAAATGTTTCACCTTTCTGTACAAAGTATTCAAAGTTTATGACACCTCACCTGGAAACCTTTTTTTTTCTTTTTGAGTTCAGAAAATTTCTCAAACCAATAAAATTAATATTTGTATACATGGTCTAAATCTAATTTTTCTGCCCCAGTAAATATGCATACAATTTTTCCATGTGGCAGAGGAAACTTTTTTCTAAATAACATCTCTGTCAAAAAGTTGTGCAAATCTTTAACTTTTGTTTCTGAATTACAAAGAATCACAGTTACAATGTCCCATAATATTACAGTGTTTTAAAAAATAAATTGTTATATTACTTCTGTTCCTTAATGAAGAAATGGTTAACTTTTTAGTTTTAATTGTGGTATGATAAGAAGATTGCACTTTGGGCCAACAGAGGGGATATATGTTTTCCTTCTGTAAGAATTTTAAACTAAACAGAAAGACTTAACATCTTACTGATGCTTTTTTTAAAATGTAAATTTGAAAATCTCCATCTATTTTCAAAGAGTCCTTAATGTCAATTACAACTGGATGGGGTCATTTGATTCTCTGTCTGTAATATTTCAGAGTATGGCCCATTAGTCTGAATCTCTCATACTTCGCTTCCAAAGAAAATGTAGACAGAGTAGTGGGTGGAAATAATTATTTGGATCTAAACCTGTATGAACAGTGCTTCCCTGATGCAATAGTGTTTTCTAAAGTAGCCTTCTCTAGCCTGGCACTCTCCTGATGTTTTGAAAGTGTGTGATATATCAGGAGAGCATCTTATGGAAGTCTGGCGTAGGGACTGTAAATCCTTGCTTTTAAAACAATAGCATGTATATGCATGTGAATGAAAATAATAGGTTTTGAAATATGCCTCGGTTTTGAATAATAAGAATTCTGTATAAGATTAGTATCAGCTTCATTTTAAATATTGTCACCAACATGTGTTCAACTTAAAACATGGAAATGAGCCATATGCATATATATAATAATAGTTCCTTACATAAACACAGTTTCAGCCTAGTCATATGTTGTTCATAAACAGCCAGAAATTGACAGAAATATGTGTTATCCAGAAATGTGTGATGAATCTCTTGTCCTATTAATGAGATTCTTCAATTTAATATGATAATAGAAATCATTGTTAATCAATATTTGAGTCAGTTTTGGTTTTGGAATATTGGTTTGAGAGTTCTGAAACTAACAAGCAGTCATTTCTGTGATCAAATTTGCCTCATTCTTCATATGGGACAGCTGAAACATGAAGAAAAATGTATATGTACTCTCAAAATTCATAATTTATGACACTAACAAATAATATAAAAAACATGGGGAGAAGTCAGACCACACCTGAACACCAAAGTTATGAGTACTAAAATTCCTTTTATTACACTGTTACAGGAACAGAGTCTTGCAACTCTGAATGTGCCTCCCCCCTCCCTGCCTTTATTCTAAAGAGAACTAGGGAGGGTCAAGTCTGAGATGTTTTCTCCAATTCCATTTCTGCTTTAGACTCAGAGTTCTCTTATCTGACCATTGCCTTGGCTGTGGCTCTTCCTCCTGCTCCTCAAGGTTATTCTCATAGGTCATTACATCTGACAGTTTAGGTGCAGTATCATCACCCACCTGGTTGGACTGGATATGCTATGGAGGTCCTTTCCTAGTGTCTCGAGACTATAAGGAACCAGATGGAAAAGAAAA